CACCTTGAAAATTTTAGATTTCTACAACGTTAATTAGGTAATTTATCTTGAATCTTAATGTTTGATAACGATTTTAATATTTATGAATTATATATAAAATTTCAGACAGATCTTTAAAAACACTAGTCGCTGTAACTTAAAATAAATACATTTAACAAATCGTTGATGAATTTAAAATTAAATATGAAATCATAGTTTATTTAAATTACTTAATTTAACTTTTAATCTACTGTACTTAAATCTAATAATTATCAAGTTTGATAAGTGCTTTGATTTCGATGATCTCTGGTCTCATGTTTTTGGTTTATGGATTGTGGTTAGAGAACTAAAATGGTGTTTCGGCCATATAAAATTAGTTTAAATGTTAAATCTTAAAATATGACTATTAGTGATCATATTATTTATTAAAATTCTAAGTGGAGCAAAAATAAACTATTTTGATAAAGTAAATATAATTTTCACGCAGCACTTTTATAAATTAAAAATTAAAAATAGATTGTTGTTATATAATTTTTAAACATTTTTTTAGTTTTCGATACAATTTATGAAGAAAACAAAACATAAATACAATAAATAAATCATAAGTGAGTAGTTCTTAGTAAAGGATTTACTATTTTTTAATTAAACGTTTAGGATATACCTATTATTAACACTATCTAACAAGATGTAAACAAATAATGAAACGATGATACGATTATCTAGTAAATATAATATAATATTAAACCGTTGACCGTTAAAATTTTCGAAACTGGTTATTAATGCACTACTTATTTTTTAATAAAAATAAAGATATGTATAAAGAAGAAAATTATGAAAAAAAAAATAAAGTTGAATAACCTATTATATATTTTTCTTTGTTTATAAATTTCAAAGCTTAAACAACTTTTTTTCACCACGATAGTTATTTAAAGACTCAACTATGAATTAATATTACATGCCATGCTGTGTCGCGGATGATCATCCATCCAAAAACATGCACTCAAAGTAGTGATAAAAATACGTTTTTTCACAACGCTAATATATGTTGACAACTCAACGTAATTGACTTAATAATCATAGATTGAATAATTTTTAAGATGAATTTTTTTTTTAAACTCATATATTATATCAATAATATAATACGTTTTTGTGTTAAAAAACCATAAACCACAAACTTTATAGTTTAGATATGTATAGATAGCATTACTGATTAATATCTATTTTGAGAAATTAAAATCCAAAAATAACTAAGGAAATTTGTTTTAATAACTGTAGATTTATCTATTTCATGAAACAGTAAATTATAAATTTTATTAAATAGTCTCTTCTAAAAAAAAAAAAAAAAAATGAAATTTGATGTCTATAGGTATGTTTTTTGATTATTTTAAAAATATATTTCAGTGAGAACAAAAACATTATTATACGACATTCAAAAATAAATTTCTATTATGTTGACACTAAAATTAATCATTATAATTTGATAGTTTTTAAAAACAGAGGGAAGAAAATATTTAAAAGAAATTTGGATCTTTTGTTGACGGACTTGTGAAGATGGTATTGTTGTCATTATTTCCAATTATTTTTCAGTTCCTTCCCGGAAACAATCTTATTAAATGTTGTTTACATTCATAAAGTTAAGCATGTTACAGCTTCAGTTAATTGAATCTTCAAAAATATTACAGTCTCTTCGTTAATTAAAAAGCGTAAGAGTTAATGTTTTGAGTATTTTATGTGTTATTGTATATATAATTATAATTATTTAACAGTCCAATTATAGAGGTACTTAGCATGTAAATCGATTGTGGAAATGTTCTCCTTGTCTTTTATTAGGTATATTTTTCTAATGGTAATATTGCAATATTATTCTCGCTACTTGCTTCTGAATATTCTAATATCCACACTGTTTTCTTACTTCGATGGTTATAAGTTACAACTCATAACATCCATGTCTTAAAGTGTATTTTTAGTGATCGATTTCACGAAATTAACACCATTGGCGTTGACCCGAGACACTCGAGAGACATTTTTCACTGTTCAATGGAGGTCTATAAATTATTAAAATACCCATAAAGGCCGAACAGCATATCCATCAATTCGTATTCAGTTGTCAAACTGGAACGATGGTTCAGAAGCAAGTTATTGATCACAGGAAGTCACTGAACCGTTGAGCGCCTCCATTAAAACGGCGCCGCCGGAGTATTTCCGTGCGTATTTTTAAGTGTTCAAATAAAGTGAAACATTTCTAAATATTCAAATATTTAATTGCTCGTTTTTATTTTTTTATTTTGTAAAAGATTAATTTTTAATTCATTGGTGACCATTATAGAAGTTTATATTTAGTTGCTAAAAGTGTGTTAAGACTACTTAAAATCACAAATCAAAAAAATATCAAGATAATAAAGGTTGTATATATATTTTTATGAATGTTATTAAATATTTATGACAAAATATTTTATTTTAATATATTTATATACATATATTCAAAAACAAATAAAAATACGAGAATATGTTGACAGTAATTTATCAAATAAAAATAGCATAAAGTGTATATTTTATTTTATTCACTGTAATAATATAATGCGTGTCTTTAACTATAAAACAAATCATTGGAATTCTTCCAATATACTATATATGTATATTAATACGTATTCAGTTATTATTTATACATAGATATACTATAATCTTAACTAGAGGGGTTGAAATTTATTAAAATATGTTTTAATAAGCAAAATTAAGTAATCACATATTTTTATATAATTTTTATACTAATGATATTTCATGTAAAATGCATTCTATAAGTTAGTAGGTAATCAAATTAAATTTAATTCTATAAAATATCTAAAATACTTATACCTTTACAAATGGTTGTAAACTCTATAATATCTAATGAGCCATTGTGATTATGTAGCGTAAAAACATTTACGAAATTGGTGTTTAAATTTAGCAAAAGTCTTATTTAACCGAAATTATGATTAGATGTGTTTGTATATAGCAGTTTAATAAAATAATAAATATTTTTATCATGTAATTATGTTTCTAAAATAATATCTGTAATGCACAAACTAAGGTCTATTGTATTTCAATGTCGATCAATTATCAGCTAAATAATTTAAAATCATTAACTAAAAATCCTATGTAAAGTAACTGTTGGTTTTTTAAAAATAAGACACATTTTTAAGACGCGGCGTATGCTAGAAATAAATATCAAACTGTTATTGCATGTCTAATTTGTAATTTTTTTTCCCACCTTCACTTATTTCATAAACTATTTATATGGGCATATACACACATCAATTTTCCTTATACAAAAATGTATATGTGTGTACTAATAACGTTACTGTTCCTGTCTATTGGACAGAAATAAAATCAACACTATGTATTCTTATATTCTAAGAATGAATTATTTTTTGTGATTACCAAACAAATGAAAGTGACTGGGTCATAATTAGTATATTATAACGTACATCATATTAATTATTATTTATAATTATACCTATAAAGTGCAATTGGCGTGATGTATTTTTCGACCTTTATTTTTGATTTTTTTAAATATATCTGTACAGTGTACAGCTGTTTTTTAGAATTTTCTCACCACAAATAGCTTAAGTCGTTTTATACTATCTACTTAGATTTAAAAAAATGTATGCATATATTATTTAGTTATATATATATACATTAAATAATGTTTAAATGATAGAAATATATCAAATGTTTGTAAAGTGTAATCGTGGCATCAGTTTTTCAAGTCAATATTTGAATAATAACGTGAATGTTGTATACCGCTCGAGTCTGAAACCTTTATCAAACGTTTATTTTATATGGGTACTTGTATGCTTTCTATTATTTAACAATCCGAATTCAGAATATTGCATTATTGTCAATATAGTTTTACTTATCATTTGCTATTTATTTATTTTTTTAATATTGTGGATTTCGTCAATAGTTATTATTCGTATTTCGTTAAATATTTGACTAGTAAGATAAACAAAATGTTAGTTTTTGAAACATTTATTTTATTATAAATTTAACTTATTGTTTCTATAACTATTTAAATTTAAAAAGGATCAAATTATCACCTACTTTGTCGGTTTGATGGATATCAAAGCATGCAGTAACATCTGGAATGGTCGTCTGTATTTTAGTCGCTAGCCTTGTCAACTAGCCAAGTATATAGTCGGTTTAATTAAAACTGTTGACTAAATAAATATTACCACCAAAGAGAACACGGGGTCACATACAAAAAAAAAAAAAAACATTGCCATTCTAGAGATAGATTAACTTTGTTTTTGAAATGCACCAAATCGTAATTAATCGTAACTATATGTAACCGTCTTCGAGATTACGCTTTCGAGGACTTAATTAATGATAGAAATACTTAAACAACAAGTTTGCATATGTATAGATTGTATGTCTATGTTTTTGACGCATTGGCTAAATTCGTCAGAGTTACCGCGACCACAATTTGGCATAGTTCATTAATTTCCTTCCTGAAAATAAAATATTATGTACTGTATAAGTTGTATTTTATCATCCATTCGAGAGTGACAAGATTTCTTTCTCCTTTTATTTTAATCCCTCTACTCGCGGTTTTTTGTTATATACTTGTCTTCTCTAAATCGTAATTATTGATATACCTGTTTATATAATGATAGACTATCAAAATATGGTGCCATACATACCCTTTTCATTATCTATTCATATTACACACGTAGTGGCTTATTTTTCGATTATTTTATTTTCACGTTATCGTGACATATCTTCCTAAACTCATGGATAATTCTCCAGTTTTCTGACATTTAATAGGTACGAAATTCTTATGTTTAAACTTATTATCATAGATAGGTACGTCATGTTAATGTAGAGAAATAAATATTTACAAATGATACGCATGCTATCGATATTTGTGTATAAATATTTTATTAATAATTCGACGTATGACTGTAAATGTATACACTATATTTGTCATCAGACTGATGATGTACATTTTAGAAAGGTAAAATAATCTTTTTATTTTATTTCAGGTGACTGCTGATCCTACAAACGTATCAGCTCATTCTCCAGATGTGATTTACATTCGACTAAGAGGTAAGATAGACATAGTATAAAAAATATTTCAGTAATCAAATTATGTTGTAAGTTTTCACACACCGTCATAGTCGAGAGCCCGAAAGGCAAACAAATATTACAATGTATTATACACACATGTGAAGATTATATATAGGTAGTAAATTCTCAAGGATAGGAATTTATGTTGAAGTCAAGTATTTCTTTTTCTCCACTCAACGAGATTATTTTGAATTGAATCCCGGTAGTTTAGTTTAATACTTATAACTTTTTATGCATTTAAAAAGTTATTTTATTTGTATTATTTTATTCTCGTGTACCTCATAAATATATTGTTAATATATCATACATAAAATCAAGTTTATTATTTTTATTTTGTTATCAAACATGCATAAATCAAGAGCAATAAAACATTACCTCGACTTCACATATAAATTTATTATTTTCAACTCAACCGAGTTATTTAAAAAAAGTTAAACCAAAATTGAATTCGTTTTTTTTTTTTGAGAGAGAGAGAAGTTCCAATATACGTTTAGATTGTTTTTTAACAATCGAAATTCGCACTAATCATTGCAGGTGAGAATAACAACGTAATATCAATAATATTTCAAATTGCATTGTATGTACGAATCATTTGATAAAAAAATATGTGCGTGTTTATCAGTTCATACCTATAAAAAAATATTATTCGTTAACTGCCACTAAATTTACCTGAGATTCCGGGCGTGGAATTTTTGAGATCTCACTCGTGAAATTCTAGTTTGAGAATTTTATATTAGTACAATACTCTATTGATTCCACGAAAAAATGATTTTATGGTATTTATTCAAATCTGCAAAGGTCACGGTGACAATTGACCTACACAAACCTGTGGTTATATAATGTACTTTCATAAATCGATTTTGATTACTTCATTCGAATTTTATGCAAACCGATTAAATACTAATCAATTGAATGTAGGTACCGTGTTTATAAATGTATGTTTATGTGTACCTATGTTTATGTGAAAGAAAAAGCATGCCATAAAATTGACACGTATAAAAAACTCGTAATTGTTATCAATTCCCATTAGTCGACCAAGTTTTAGTAATTTGGTTTGTGTTTCGCCGTACGTGTATGAAGCCGGAATCCGAATGTAGAAATAAGTTTTACAACGTGACAGAATCAAAAATAATGCGTCGACCCCGAGCTCTGTGTACAAGTTATTATTTAGTGAATTTGGTAATTTTCCCGTATTTACCGGGGAGTACTCAATATTGTGTTGTTCCGGCTTTTGGTTTTTCCGTCGAATAAGGGAGAGGAAGTTACCAGATAGAAGGAAACATCATTGGATTATTTATAGTACGTTTATAATTATGCGACACGGACTCTTGTAATAGTTAATCTGTGAATTATAATTTTTATCTCGGCCGAAAAAGGAGCAATTTTGATTCGTTAAAAATATAAATGTCTATCCTCATCTATATTTAATTATAATGATTTTAAATATAAAATATTTTATCTACTTTATACACTGCACATTTTGTAGAGGAAAATACTCACTTGGGCTTTCACCCGCGTGCTTTCAATCAGAAAAAAATAGCGCTGGGTATAGAAGTGTTTGTGCATCTATTTGCAGCAAAACACCATGACCGGCCATTGTCGTAATAGCAAAAAATTATGTTCTAATACGTGCACAGAACGTCGTTCATAAATCTATACATAATAATATTGTGAACGTTCGTTTAATGACTATGCCTGCATGGAGACTGACTGAATTGTAACTACTGATTGTTTGAAATGTGTCAAGGCTTTCGGCAGATTGGCCGATACGCAAACATATATTATATTATTATAATATATAATGACAATACATACTACGTAGGTGTATCAGTAATTTTACAAACGAAAACGCGGCTTATCCTGTGAACCAAATTGCACATTATGTGAAACAATGCATATTGTTACTTATACCACATATAGATATAACAATGCTTAGATAGACTGAACATTTTATTTTTTATTTTTAATTCTGAATGTATGTATATTGTTTATAACAGTTAAATGTAATATTATAAAGAAAAAAAAATACTTTCAATTGTGAAGACAACAAATTAACACAGTTTAATCTAATAATTATTCTGTAGTGTACATTTAAAATTATAAATTTTAAAAGGAGTAAATAGGTTTAAGTGATTATAAGAATATTTATGGAAATATCTATTAGAAAATGTTCTTCCATAAATTACTACTCAGAATATTCTTATTAAAAATAAAAAACGTTTGTATATCTTATATTTTAACTATTAATGCATAATACTGTTTAAAAATATAATATTTAAAGTATACTTGGTAAAAAAAGATAATATTAATTATAATAAATATGTACAGAATATAATTTTTTTATCAGCACAATTCATAGCTTTATTTATAATAAAATACAAACAATATATGTATGGAATTATGTCTTTTGGTGCAATTAGTAAAGTTATTATTATAGCTTAAATGATATAAGATTCAGTCTTACCGATCTAGCGAGTTTGTTGAAGTTTTAATAATATTTATTTGAAAATTTCAATCCATTGTTAAATTATTTTAAATGTTTTAACGTATAACAAATATATTATTTTGAAACATAATACTTATGTAGAACAATAATATAATATGTAACAGGTGTATAAAATTAATTAATTTTTACATTAAACTGACTATTTTTATCTTTATTGATTTTTTTTTTTTATAATTCCAGATGAAGACAATTATATAATTGTTATCATGATTAATTTAAACATTCATTGTTTCACAAAATTTTGAATTTAAAAAAAAAAGATATTTTTTTTTAATAATAAGTAATGAATGCTATTTTTTTTACTAACTACTCAGTTATTTGGCAAAACAGTTCTTACAATATATTATACTCGTATTATTTGTCAACTACTGAATAAATGACAAACATATCATTCATTATTAATGACAGCCATTTCAGAAAAGAACTTGCAGATGGTACTGTAATTATTATTTTTAATTTTATTTTTTTTTTTAAATGCCACTCAAATAACTATCGAACCATTCGTTATTAATTTATTGTTATTACTCTTTAGTTATTAGTATTATTATTATTATTATTATTATTATTACTATTATTATATCACTATTAATATGAGTAATTACTATCATTAGGAATATTATTATTGCTATTTCTATTACTATTAGTATTTCGTTATTACTACGAGTATTACTGTGGAATTTGTGTACAAAATAACATTTTTGACTTTCAACAATACTGTGAATGATAACGGTAATGTAACAGTAGTTATCGCACGTAAGCCTTGATTAGTGGTTGATTAGGCATTAGTACTGTTGATGAGTTTGGTAAATTAGCGTTTTGACTGTAAATCACATTTTAGTTTAATTGTATACCTATTATTAATTATATATATTAATGTTAAATGTTAAACGGGTTGGTTGTTATTGTTGTTTTGTTTTATTTTTTCAGGGTGTAGTTAATATATATTATATATAATACTAATATCAATATAGCAACATTATATACATTTTGAATGATGTAAAATTGAAATATTGTAAACATAAAAATTTAATTGCAAAGTTATTTGTAAACATTTGTATATAAAAATCCTATTCAGAGATAAACCTTGTATGCAAAAATGTTATTCCATACATCATCAAAAAGAATTTGTAACGATATATTATTTAGTATTTTTATTATATGTTTAGCCGATTGTGTATTTTTTAAACAAATGATGACACAGAGCGAAACATTTTAATGATCAATATCGTGTTATCAAATTGTGATGAGACAGCAAGACAGCATAAATATATTGTTTATTTTCAAAAACTCGGTAATTCTACAACAGACATTTCATAGAATTAAGGCAATATTATATACCTATCTCTAAAGTTTTTTCACGTGTTGATAGGGCGTATTTCCATTTTATTGACTTTTAGTGTTGTTATATAATATTATGTCATACACGTATTTCCAATATTACAATAGTAATTTTAAATTGAAATTTGTTGTGTAAAACATTATTTAGATTTAAACTTCCAACTTGCTTATTTTATTGTATTACTCTTAAAGACATATTAGTGTATCACCAATAACTTGTTATGATATAAAATCGTATAATTTAAAACTAAACTATATAGTGATCAGGGGCGTGTCGAAGAGGTGGTTTTGAAGGTTCAAACCACCCCCAAATTGACTGGCTTATTTTTTTCAACTTAATGATATTTACAAAATAAAAAATATACATTAACATAATATTATGGGAAAATCCGATAATATAATAATTAATAAAAAATAATACAATATTTGACGATCTTTGGGTTTTATTCTCTTTAGTACATTTCTGCGTACTTTATATTCGTAGACTTTATTTTATAGGTAACTAATTTATAAATTTTTATTTTATTTTTGACTAAACAAATTTTAATTAAATTTTTTTTTATTAATACAGTATATACTTACATTTATTTGAATGATATATTGTTCTAAGTATTGAAGTTTAACTTTAAAACTTTAAGGTTAAATTAAACCATCTCCAAAAAGAAATCCTGGGCACGCCCCTGATAGTGATGATATATATAAATACTCCATAAATATACAACTTTTAATACCTTTAAAACCCATATTTTCTTTAAAAATATATATATACTTATAACTAAAAAAATTAATTGTATATTGATTAGAATGCTGTTTAGTTCAAATTAAAAATGTAGTTTTATCTTTTTTTTTTTTGGAAAACTAAAATAAGTTTAAAAAAGTACATATTTTTTATTTAAATTTAATAAATATCTTTGGGTATTGTACGAGTTATTTAAAAATGTATTTTTATAAAATATTTAGTTATTAAAATTTTAATTAATTTTTAACCGAGCTTTAGTTAGTCATTTTAGCATGCTATTACTTACCACTTATAACCTGTCATAGTTAACGAGTGTTTAAATTTGTGAATAACTTTATCCATAATATTTTATTATTATATGCATTTTTTATATTTATTTAAAATCTATATCTACTT